ACACAGTAGGACAGCAGGGAGGTGGCCCTGGTGCTGACCTTTGGAGCAGTCCTGGGACCTCTACAAAGTCATCAGTGCCCCTTCACAGACCAAGGTTTGGGGCCTGACTCAGGCTCTGCCATGACTTCCCCCAGGCTTAGGACATAAATAGGTATGCCAGAGGGACCCTAGGGAAGATGGAGAGGTCTTCCCCTCCCCAGTTGACTCTGAGTAGTGTTCTTGTGAGCTCACAGGCCCCAGGCCTTCCTCCTCGGTCCACACACAGACTCAAATTCCCCTGCAGAATTCCCTTCCCAGAGGTATATTTGGACCTTGATGCAAAGAAAAGTTGATGCATTGTGCAACTGGAAAAACATTATCTCTTACTACTTAATTCTGGTTCCCCTAGAATGGAACTGTGTTTTCAAACTTAAAAGAACATAAGCATCCAGAGACCTTGTGAAGGAAGATTTCTGACCCGGAGCCCAGTAAATAGTCAGATTTGGAAGAGGCCCAAGAGTTTTTCTCTGACAATTCTTGTACACTAAAGTCCGATAACTAGTGTTCTATGATGTTACTCAGGCCCCATAGAGCTGCAGTGCCATTTTTTTTTTTAATGTAGGTTCCACACCCAGAGTGGAGCCCAACGTGAGGCTTGAACTCATGACCCTGAGATCAAGACCTAAGCTGAGATCAAGAGTCAGATGTTTAACCAACTAAGCCACCCAGGTGCCACCGAACATTTTTTGGCTGCAAACCACAGTATGAAATTTTACACTGTGACCTAGGACACACTTAAAATTACCTAAATCAGGGGCACCTGGGTAATTCAGTCAGTTAAGCGGCCAACTTGATTTTGGCTCAGGTCACGATCTCGGGGTCCTGGATCGAGACCTGCGTTGCGCTCTGTGCTCAGGGGGCAGTCTAAGGATTCTCTCTCTCTCTCTCTCCCCCTCTCCAGGGTTGTGAGATCGAGCCACTTGTCGGGCTCTGCTTGAGATTCTTTTCCTCCCCTTCTGCACCTCCCCCTGCTCATGCTCGTGCTCTTTCTCTAAAATACACAAGATCTTAAAAAACAAAACTCATTGTTAAAATAAATATAATTTTTAAAAAATTACCTAAAACAAAAATAGGATGAAACAGTATTTTTCCCAACCCCAGTGATGCACCTTGATGCGTTCTGCACTTCAAACACTCCCTGGTGCAGATCCACTAAATGAAGGGGTCTCATTCACTGCATATCAGAATCACCAAGGGGGCTTTTATATCTTCTAGGGCCAAAGCCACACCCCTGACCAATTAAATCAGAAACTCAGGGGCACCTGGGTGGCTCAGCCGGTTAAGCATCTGACTCTTGGTCTCAGCTCAGGTCTTGATCTCAGGGTTGTGGGTTGGAGCCCCAAGAGGTTTGTAGGTTCAAGCCCCAAAAACCCTGGGAGTAGTACAGGCATCAGTAATTTATAAAGCTCCTCAGATGAGTCCAACTTGAAGCCAAGGTCTAGATCAGCATTTAAAAAAAAAATTTTTTTTTTTTTTTAAGATTTTATTTATTTACTTGACAGAGAGAGACACAGTGAGAGACACAGTGAGAGAGGGAACACGAGCAGGGGGAGTGGGAGAGGGAGAAGCAGGCTTCCCACAGAGCAGGGAGCCGGACGTGGGGCTCGATCCCAGGACCCC